GGTGCTTTGAGCTACAGCCCCAGAACCCTGAATTATGGATTTTAAAAAAGCACCTTCCATTCTCCGCTTGGTAACTTGTCAAATAACTTTATATTTTCCTTTCTGGGGTCAGTGTAAGTCAGATTTTGGTTTTTGTTTTATTTTGGAGAAAGGGTTTCTCTTGTGGCCTTGGCTGTCCTAGACTTGTAGACCAGGCTGGCCTCAGACTCACAGAGATGCACCTGCTTCTGCTTCCCAGAGTGCTGGGATTAAAGGTGTGTGCCACCATGCCTAGCTGTCAGATTGTTTTTGTTTGTATGTTTGTTTTTTAACATTGTCTGTTTTAGATATCCCAGGGATACTTCAGAAGTATCTAACTTTGCCTCCTTTCTTAGGAGCATTTTCTTCAGAGTCCTGTACTTCTAAGCTTTGTTCTTAAATCTCGTCAATTGGTATCATTTACTACTCCAGTGTGTTCATGCAGGAAAATGTACAGACGTTGCCACTGATGGAAATTTTAATGAATTGCTTTCCTATTTTCTTACTGGTGTAAAGTTCATCTTTGCAGTTATGCAATTCAACAGCTTCTTTCCTCCAGTTTTTGGAAAAATGCAACATTATGGTGATGAAGAATGGTTATCATGGCTGATCCATTTGATAAATGTCCCAAGAAATCAGTCAAAATATTTCACCATGATTGTCTAAAGCATTGTTTTTGTTTTTCAGTAAGCAATGGATTTGAGCATTTAAGCCCCTGCAAAGTTAGAGTGATGCCACCCTTAGCTGAAAACCCCATTGCCTTTCTGAACATAGTTTCAATGCTCTTAGCAAACAGTACATTAATTTGTACTTGCTAATAGTCCATATACACTTCCCGATGTATGCACTAGATTTAATGGCTGCTTCATGGCTTCACTGAACTAGACTTCTGCAAAAGAAAAACCAGTGACTTGTTGAGCAAAACAAAATGAGCTTCAAGTCAAAGCCAATAATGACAAACTAAAGCATGGGGCCAGGTGAAATAGCCCTAGAGGTATCCTCCCTAAGCCCGCCTGTGCAATCCCAGAACAGCTGCCCAGTGTCTTTGAAAGAGGACTTTCAATTGCCCCTGTAGTGGGCTAATTCCCTAACACAATATTATTTAAATGCCACCTGCCGTATTTAGCCCTTGCCATGTTTTAGGAAACTAAATTATGCAGTAAATTAGTAACTGAGTTTGAAAACGTTTCAAGCGAAGGGGGAAACTTCCTGCAATGAAGCCCCACATATCAAGACCATCCTGGATATACTTTCCACCTGGAAATATCACATTAAATGTGTAAGCTTTTAAATGGGCACTGGTGTCAGTGAATGTAAGATTCTGCCTTCTCGACCATCGCAGACTTATCATGAAACACTGCTTTTTTACTTGGGTCATGGAGATGCCTGCAGGAACTGAGGTACATGGTTCTCTGTTAAACCTTCTCAAGCTCCTAGCCTTTCGTTTTCAATTTTCATTTGTTTTCCAGTCACCAATTCCAGTCGTATTGTATTGTTTACCTATACCTGTTGTTCTTGATACTGCTGGTATGTTTAAGAATAGAAAACAGATAAACAAGCTTACTAGAACTTGCTGTTAAGGAGAAACAAGAACTGAAGATGGAAGAGGGCTTGGGTGCTAGCTCTGGGATACAGTGGACATAGTTACACACCCCTAGGTGTTTCAGCACTGATGAGGCAGCCCCTGATGCATCCAAATGAGTGAAATGCAATTAGTCAAACATGTTGGGTAGGTAGCAAATAAATCAGCCACCTGTTTTTGTTTTTGTTGTTTTAGAGTGAAGCTTTAAAATTGTTTAGGAATACAGTCTGACATTTCTAATCAAAGCCTGAAAAAATTATACAGATCAGCAGCTAGTAATTGGCTTCCTATAAACTTATTAACAAATTAGGTTACAAAATACAAAAGCACTTCAGTGACTCATCAGGAGGCAGCAGACTCAAAGCTGAGTTGTAATGTGCTTTCCATAACACAACTTGCTTAATTATCCACACAGGTGAGTCATCGGTACCTCAAGCCTGCTAACACTCTTGGACACCTGGTATTCGGTAGGGCGGTGCTTATCTTTGAATAAGGAATGAGTAGTTCTCTAAGTCAGCAGGACAGGTAGCCCTCACCATCATGAGTAACATAACAAAGCTGATTCTCAAAGGTTCTAGAACACGCAAGACATACTTTAAGAACTAAGTGTTTTGTGAATTCACGTGTGTTTGGTTATTCAGTGCTTATGTAAGAAACACATGATACATACCATGATACCACACATGACAGCATTCTGTGAATTTACAGATGATGGCAATTCTAATCCTCACGTGAAAGCTTGCTGAAACACCAGCCTACTACCAGAGTGGATTTCTGAGCACAGTAAACAATGTTTTAATGTGGAAAATGTGGGAGGGGAAATCCATTTTCCTCTCAGGGCACTGAAATTACCTTCAGGGACAATTTTCACTTTTCTCACTGCATTTATTTGACAAAATTAAAAGCCAAATCATTTCAGACTAGCAAGTTCCAATAAATCTGCCTTCTGCAAAGCTGAAAGTATGGCAGCTAGAACTTTTTTTTTTTTTTTTTATTCAAAGAATGTTCCTGTGAATTGAAGCAATGGTTTTACAGAGGAGCTGAATGACCACAGACAAAGTATCCAAACTTCTGCTGAGGATCTAACCAACTGTGGAAAATAACTGGTTAATCTGACAGTGAAGGCACTTAGGGGCACTGAATAAATGGTCTCAGAAAATCCAAAACCAATCAAAGAAAAAAACCCCTCAGCCACAAAAGAGCACTGCTCAACATCTCCCCCACCTGAGCTAAGGGTTTGGGGAGCAGACCTTGTAAAGCTTCCCCAGCACAGATAGTTCCAACTCTGATTTGAGGATCTTGGTCATGAGAAAGGTTTCACATAGTGGAACTCACTGACCTTACATGAGCTACATTTAAGACCCCAGTACCGTGCTTGATGTAATGTCTGGTGTACACAAATACTCAGGAATTGTTAGCTTTACTGCCACGAAGACTGACTGTCTCCCATATGTGCACGGAAAAAAGACAACCATGTCAGCGATGGCGCAGTATCATGCTTGCCACAAAGCCTCAGACCCTCAGCTCTGATCGCCAGCACTCTCTGCAGTGCACAGCTGTAACCTGAGTGCTGGGAGGGGGAGACAGGAGCAATTCGGAGGCTCACCAGGCTGGCCAGCCTAGCTCAATCTAGGGCCTCCAGATTCAGAGAGCGAACAATTAACAAAAACACCCCACATCGGCCTCTGGCCCCCATGCTCAAAGGTACAAACAGCAGCAAACATAGGTGTACCCACACATACGTAGACAAATAAAAAGAAAATAGCATGAACTGGGTGGATTGTATCTTTAATAGTTTATGGATAGCTATTACATGAGTATTGTAATGTAAAATAAAACTAGAGACTCCTGATAGTAGGCTAGAATTACAAATAATTCAAAACTTCCAGTAAACCTACAATGAAAACTTTCTTGTATGTTGCCTCAATGGTTTATACTATTAAAAAGATACAACACAAATGGAGCTCAGTGTAGAGAGCTCTTGCCAGAATGTGTGAAGCCCTGGGTTCCAGCCTTAGTACCACAAAAGTGAGCAAACAAACACAGATTTGTACTACTTCTGACTTTCACAATGCCTCCTTTCACATTTCAGTTCTTGATGGTTAGTTCAAAACAATTGTAACCTCTTTATTTAAATGTTTATTCATTTTATTAAAAATTTTCCAGGGCTAGAGAGATGGCTCAGTTGTTAATAGCACTGGATGTTCTTGCAGAAAACCACGGTTCAGTTCCCAGCACCCCAGGGGATTCAACATTCTCCTCTGGCTTCCTTGGGCACCAGGCACGCACATAGTGCACAGACATACATACATGCAGACAAGCACTCACACACAAAATAATAAAAACAAGCCTTCCTAAAACATGTCTGTTTGCTCTAATTATTCACATCTCACAATACACAAACATAAGACTATGACGTGTCACTGTAATTATGGGATAGGTTCCTTTTTAGCTTGGAGCTTGGCTTGCCATCACTAGTCTTTCTCAGACTGCTAGCTGTGACAGCTAAGGAAAGAACAGAACACATTCCGTATGTTGTACCAGGCTTACTATGTGTTCGTTAGAGAAATAAGGACACCTAGGGCTGATCTATCTAACCCAGCAGTCCTGACAGATGAGCGGCCCCAGGTTTAACTGGGGGTTCCTCTGTTCCTGGAGGTGACATGGTTTATGCAGAACTCAAGCACTTTCCTACATTTCACCCTTTGTTATGCAGCCTCCTTTACCCTTAATGATGAGTCATTTCACTCCTGGGCCAGAAAATAAAATGAGTGGTGTTTGTTTTCAGTATTTGCCAGTAACACTGTATGGCTTGCTTCCTTGCACAGCTAGTGCCTAATCCATTTGTGCATTATGCTTCCTGCAATGCTGCCTCCATCCTACCTCTCTTTAGACAACCAAAGGCCTTATCATATAGGAGTGTGTGCAGAATATGCTGGTATACCCCATTGCAGACTCTTTTCTGTCATTATACACACCCAAGTGTTTTATCTATATTTCATGAAGTTAAAAATACAATAAATGAGTTATCTCTTTTTAAAAAAAAAATCAAAACATTTTCTCTCAATGTGTACAAATTCAACCCACTAGGTTACAAGTGACTTAATAGCCTGTTGCCCCATTTCTCTATAATTAACTACAAAAAGGAGCAATGAAGTATGTTTCATTTTAATGCAAATTCAGATGTTTTATATCTGACTGACCTTCAAACTACAGTTTGTAGTGTAACTTAGCATTACGTACTCTTGCCACACCGCTGTCACCAAATTAAACACAAGCACACAGAGCAAGCCTTTTGTAAGGTGAACCAATTTTTCATGATGCAAATAATTGTCACTGGAACTTTTTATATCTGATTTACTTTTTTGAAATTGGGATAATCATGGTAATGAGACAAAAATCTTTATAAAACATCGGTTTTATTACCTCAAAGTAATTCTTGGTGGCAATATATTTCATAATTCATCAAAAACAGCAGAGTTCCACAAACGCCAAAGAATGGCAAACTACTTCAGATGAGCAAAACAATATGAAAATACATTTAGCAGAACAAGGGAGAATTTTTTTTAAAAATATACATTATTTTGAAATACTGATATGCAAAAAAATACCTTTTGGCCTACAGCCAAACTTTAATTTCCCAGTGCTGACTTTATTGTTGAAAGATACATTAATTCTTGATTTCAGAATGACACTTGACCATTTGATTTCTGTATAAATGACTGAATATATAAAGTACCAAATATAAGTAGTAGTGTAGCAAGAAAATAAATGGCAGAAATAATTATTCAACCAGTACTGCTGGTTAAAATATCCAAAGATTTTTCTACACACAACAAACGAGGAAATGTTACTGTCAGAATTTCAATCTTAAATGGCTACTGTTATACTTCTTTCTTCTTCAGTATGAGTGGACCCACATTATCTCCTGTCAATTCATTGTGCTTATTATGGGACCCATCACAGGCAGGAAACTAAAAGGAAAAAAGAATTGCAAATGTTATTTTACAGCAGGATTCAGAAAGGATTCATTTGTGAAATGCTCATGAAGCTCATCAGGGAGCTTCCTGACAGAACACACCCTCCATTCCACCACCCCATGCTCCACACAGCAGGCTACAGAAGGAAAAAGGAAAAACCATTCCCTGCACTCGAGAGACAGAGCCAGGCAGATCTCTTGAGCTTGAGGCTAGCCTGATCTACAGAGTCCCGGACTGCCAGGGAAACTACACAGAGAAACCCTGTCTTGAAAGTCTTTGGCTGAATATGTCTCAGTGACTACAAAAGTTTAAAAAGGATCAAAGTAAGCTCTTGGTCTCTATGGAGCTCTACATTTGAGCTAATTTCTCATTTAAATTTTAAAAAATGAGATGTATATTCAAAGTAAATTTTACCATGTTTTGTTATAAAATCATAAAGTTTCTGAAAATATTAAAGATGTGTTACTAAATGTTCAATCCATCTGATTATAGTTATAATTAGTATAGGTTTTCCTTTATTGTGGCATTCCTTTTTTAAAAACAAATGTGCAATCCTATCGTAACATGCTCTTTTTGTATTAAAGCAGGACCTCATGTCAGTCAATGTTTGGGTGCCTGTGCAGAGGGTATGCGCCTGCCTGTAGAGACACGGGTGGAAGCCGGGACTGACACTGCAATGTCTTCTTCAGTCGCTTCTCCACCTTAATTTCTGAGACAGGACTGCTCATTGAACCTACAATGACTGCTGACTGGCCAGGGAGCCTCCTGTCTTCCTCTCTCCCCTTCCCATCCCATCCCTCACCAGAAGCATACCACCATCCTGGGCTTTTGTGGGGGTTCTGAGATCTCAGGTCCTTATTCCTGTGCAGCAAAATCATACTCCACAGAACTGTCTTCCCGTTAAATACTTCTCTAAAACATGATTTGTATTGACTTCCCAACATCTAGTCGGGTGTGATTTCCTATATGTTAACTGAGGCTTATTACATTGTTTCTAAAGTTTTGCTGTTACAAATAAAACACTGTACTTAAAAGTTTCAAATACTGTCATCAAATACAAGAAAACAGATTTTATTAACTAGAATACTTATCACTCCAAATTTATTTTCCTCATTGAAACTTATAATACGGCTAGCATTTACTATGTAACTTATTTTACAAGTATCATTTCAGTAAATCTTCAAAAATATCTGCATTACCTATATAGAAGATTGAAAAAACAAAACAAACAGCAAATAAAAATCATAAAGAAAACCGTATAAACCAGAGATTAAAAGTTAAGAAACTCAGCCTGGTGTGGTAGTGCATACCTTTAGTCCCAGCACTACCGGAGGCAGAGGCAGACAATCTGCAAATTCGAGGCCAGCCTGGTCTACAGAGTGAGTTCCAGGACAGCCAGGGCTACACAGAGAAACCCTGTCTCAGGAAAAAAAAAAGGTTAAGTAACTCAGGGTAGGCATACTGGCTCATGCCTTTAATACCAACACTCAGGAGGTAAAACAAGTCAGTTTCTCTAAGTTTCAGGCTAGCCTGGTTAATGCCACCAATTCTAGGCCATTTAGTGCTACATGAGACCCTGTTATGTAAGAGGGAGAGAGGGAGGGAGGGAGGGAAAAGGAAAGAATGAATGAGAAAAAAAAAAAAAACCCAGCCCAATCTAAACCAGGTTAGCAACTTGCTTAAAAAAGTGACAGACTGGCAGCAAATTTTAGTAATTATTTATATTGACATCAAAGTTTAGGCTCCTTTCTATTAAACCTTAAATTATCTCTCTCTCTCTCTCTTACACACACACAACTATTTGAAGCATATTGCTCTAGACAAATGCTAAACACTGTGAGAACATCAGAGTTCACTGCTCCTTGCTCTCTTCTAACATAGGTACTATAAAGCAAAGAAGTGCACACTTCAATTTGGGAATACCAACTTTTAATACTGAACAATACAGAAAAGTCCCTAATCTCATAGAATTTTAAAACTGGGAAGAAAAAGGGCAAAGCCATACTACTTCCACACAATTTCACTGTACGTGCAAATGGTTATCTTACCGTCTTGGAACGCCAACACCTACAATAAGCTGCTTTAGTAAGACACAGATCTTCAATGTTTATTTCGTTCACCACTTTGGGATTTTCTTTTTGTATTTTAAGATTAATCAAGCTGTCCTTCTGTTGTTTCTTCTTGGGGAAGAATGGACGGACTGCAAGGTAGCCAAGAAGTGCAAGTACACCAAGGAAGGGTAATAAGCGGAGCCATTCTGAAACTAAACACATACACAGTCGTCAGCATCTGCGGTGCTCTCGGAACACACACACTGGCTAGCTCACGCGTGTGCTGACCTGTGCTTCTCACATCTACCGCATCTGTAAACAGTATAAACAGAGCAGACCCAGCCCTGCTAGGATTACCTTTCTTATTTGTAGGCTAACTCGATTTGTGAAACTGAAATTTATAGAAACACACTATTTTAAATAGCCTATCTCATTATACCTAAGTATGTTTGTGCTTGTATTTACTTTTATCTGGAATTACAACCTATATAATTATGAACAAAAATGTCTTATTAAGTTTAGGAAACATTTTCACTCCTTTCTCCTTAATGCCACATCTAACACCATACAATGGAATTTCCAAACACACACCCAAACTTAATTACTAATTTATAATTTCAGACAAAACATGGCCTCAAATGTTTCAACCTACCTTTCTAAAATTAAAACCAGAATCTTCTCCAACAGTACAACCTAACCAGTCAACTTAATGAACTGAAATCTTTACATACTGAATAGTCTCATTTTAAGAAGCTTATTAAATACCTTTTAGCTACCAGCCAGTCTTCAGAACACATGAAATACAAACACGCAAGTGAAATGGCCCTCAGAGGTCTGAGGGTGCTGCCAGTTTCCTCTGGGCGCCTTCACTGACCCTACACCCTTCTAGGTACCACTAGAAGAAACTATGTGCCACAGGGTGCTGACAAATATTGGTAAGTGATGGGCTGTGCTTCAGAGGAAACCAACTCACCTCACACAGCTTTGACAACTGCAGCATTTTAACGTTATTCTCATATTACGTGTAGATAAAAAGTAGCTTAAGCAAGATTAGTTCATCAGCCTAAATCCAAAGCCTGTTCTAAGTCACAGATTGAATCAAATTCCACAGATCTAAAATTAAATGTTTTTCTCTTAATAAAACTATTCTGGAGAGATACTACTATTTAGCCACTAAAATACAGTGGCTTAGTAACGACTCCTCCAACGTGAATGGGCCGAAAGCTCAGTGGTGGAGTGTGCGCCTACCCAGTGGAGAAGGAAGCCGTTTCAACTCAGCACAATGCCAGGCATGGAAAAGAAATAACCTATTTATATAAGCAAGTAACTGCAGAATCTAGAAAAATATTAAGCATTACTCAGTACAGTATTTTAAAATCACTAGACAGACATAGAAGCATCCTCTTACAAGTCAGCACCCAGTGTTTCTGTGCACATGAAACCAATAGAAGTTGAGCGTCTTCCTCCATTGCTGACTTACAGCCTTGAGACAGGTTCTCCACACAACTAGAAACTCCTCGTTTTGCTAGGTTGACTGCTGGCAAGCCCTCAGGCTCTGCCTGTCTCTGGCCTCGAATACTCAGGCTTTTCAGGAGGGTGCTGGGACTCAGGCTCTCAGACTTGCAGAGGAGCGCTCTTACCCACCAGCTACCTGCTCCCGAGGTTGTTAAACAGGCGTTATTTCCTTTACTCTTGTTACTGTTTCATGAAGTAACCTCAGGGAATAAATGTCCCTGCCTTCACACGGCCAAGCCTGGTGCATGCACACTAGACATTATGTGGCAGAGCCTCTACCAGGTCAGCTGCACCGCCAGTTCAGACACCGTCCTGTGCAATCTAGTGCTGAGTAATCCAGTGCTCGAAAATAATGTAACAAAAATTGGCTGAGTTACTGTTATTCCCTACAACAGAGCACTAACATAAAAACACTGAGTCCAGCCTCTTTTTAATGTTGCATTAAGTAAAAACTTCTATGAAGTGAAAGCAATACAGTATATAGCTCAATTTAAATTGTTTTAAATACATTTAATAAGATGAGTTTTCCTTTCTCTGTCTCTCTCTCTGTCCTGGACCACTCTGTAGACCAGGCTGGCCTCTCAAGGCAGAGATGCTCTTGCCTCTGCCTCCTAAGTGCTTGGATTAAAGGTGTGAGGCACTACCACTCAGCTAGGATTTTTCTTTTTCTTTTTTTTTTTTTTAATTTTTTGTTTTTGTTTTTCAAGACAGGGTTTCTCTGTGTAGCCTTGGCTGTCCTGGAGCTTGCACTGCAGACCAGGCTGGCCTCGAACTCACATCGATCTGCCTGCCTCTGCCTCCCAAGTGATGGGATTAAAGGTGTGCACCACCAACACACGATGACAATTTTTCTTAAAGAATATAAAGTACAGAAGACTCAAACAAATAAAAAACCTGGTAAGATAAGCCACTTGCTTTGGACATTTTTTATGTACACCAGTTACTCTGGGGGCGGGGTCATCACTAATTATATATAGTATACAAACTAATTTAAGAAATGTACTCTTTATAATGCACGCTTTAAATTTAATTGATTACAATTATAAACACGCATAGTATGAAATTTTAATTTAGAAAAGAAAAAGCTATTAAAAATCATACTAGCAAGAATTAATAACATTTCAGTATATTTGTTATTATCTATGCAGTCCATATCCCACATTTTAACATATAAGATTATTTTATCATTTTTCTAACTCTATAATGACATTTGAAAGTTTGTTAAGAACATAAAAAAATGGATGTTTCGTCTACATGTATGCTTGTGCACCAACTCCATGTCCGGTGCTTATGGCAGCCAGAAGAGGATCTCTAGAGATCTCTAGAGACTGGAGTGACAGGTGGTTGTAAGACCCAGTGTGGGCACTGGGATTCCAACCCAGGTCCTCTGGAAGGGTGACCAATGCCTTTAACTGCTAAGCCATCTCTCCACCCCATGGAAACATAAGTTTCAGTAGGGTCTTTAACCTTGCACGTGTCCCACTCACCATTAAGGTCTATAAAAACATAGACTTTATTTGTCTGGGTCACCACTGTATCCTCAGAACCTAAATAATGCTTGGCTCAACAGGCTAATTTACTTTTTACTACAACATGTATAATTTATACTTCAATTTCTTTTGTTTTCGATTTAAGGTTCAGAACAATGAGTTTTGAAATTATATGGACCTGAAGAAGTTACTTAAAGCAAAGTATGCTGTTTCTAGCTACAGGTAACTTATACTATCCTAGAACATTTGCTTTTACACCTTACAAACACCCCTTTCTGATTTATTGCTATTATTATTAGAATGTATGATGCTTGGGAGTTTGCCACCGGCCACGTGTAGACTTGGGGAACAAAATGTTTGGACTTAGTTCTCTTCTTCCACAGTGAAATACTCAGCTCAGATGGTCAGGTCTGCACAGCAAGGGTTTTTACCTCGTAAGCCATCTCACCAGCCCCTTCCTGTTTTCGGTTACTGATTTAAGGGCATGGCCTTAAGGTATGGCCAGTCTGCTAAAGTGCTTGCCTTATAATGATGAAGACCCAAGCCCGACCCCCAGAACCCACATTAAAAAAGCCAGGCATGGTGGTATGTGCTTGTAATCTCACTGTCCGGCAGAAACAAGAAAATCCCCTAAGGCTCAAAGGCCAGCTGGTCTAGCCTAAGTGGCGAGTTCCAGACCAATGAGAGAATGTGTCTCAGAGTAGTTAGACAGCAATCTGAGGATGTCACTCGAGTTATCATCAGGCCTCCACGTGTATGTGTGCACTGTGCATCAACACACACACACACACACACACACGAACCACATATGAGCATGCATCAGATGTATAAAAATGTAAGTGCATAGTGAAGACCTTCTGAATAAAATCTTATGAACTTCCTCTTGTAGATTAGACTTTTTAACTGTATAAGTAGTACCCACTTTGTGGAGACACTGTGCAGTGCAAAAATAGCAGCTTCTTCCTGTTTCTGTGCATGGAGTGCACAGTGCAGTGCCTGGGGCAGAACAGGAATGCAGCAAACAACTTAATTACTGTTTATCTTTAGTCTAAATCCAGGTTTCATTTGCCTGTAAAACAGGAATAACAATCATTCATTCGTTTAATCAACAACATTTACTAAGTACCCTATATTCCAGTTACTGCATCAGGAATGGGGTGCTACTACTGAGAGGAGGGGGCAGATAGCAAGGAAGCCAAGCACAACAATACAGTCACAGGCTGCACGAAGAGCCCCGAAGAAAACAAAAAAGGTGACATAAAATTAACAAAACAAAACCAACCAAGCAATCACACACGCTACGTGGTGGCACAGCTGTGCGTTGACTGTAACTTCAGGTAAGAGCCAGGAAACATTCTGAAAAAAAAAGAAAATAGGTGGAGACTTGAAAGGTGGAAAGCAAAAGGCTCAGAGATTCAAGACTCCTCAAGACACAAAGAACATGTAAAACCTTCCAGCCTGTGTGTCACTGGCAGGACTGTATAATGCTGTTTAAAGGAAAAGCTGTTCACACATTCTACCGTGAAGCTAGTTATGCAAATGAGCATCTCCTCTCCACGAGATTTCAGTTCCTTGTCCTTTACTAGACTTACATAAGCACTACAATGGATTTTAGTCAAATTGAGTTTATTCTTTATCAAATCAGCACCTAGATCGTTCCTATTTGGTTTGTTTAACTTTCTCTACAGCTTACAGAGTTAAGACAGAGAAAGATATTTAAGAAACAGGAACAGCCTGGCACACTCAGCACCAGGGTATCTTTGGAATACAGTGAAGAGAAGTGCTGAAGACAGGAGCAGTTGACAGCATGAGAAGTTCTGATATGCGGTAGGCAGGTAGGAATCTGCCTGTGCACGGCAGGAAAGCAGTGGAGTGTGTAAACATATTTAGAACATTACCTATTTTCAAAGTCAAGCTACAGTCTGATGGCAGATGGATTAGAGGAGGATGGTAAGGAAGGGTGGGGAAGGATGAGGCTTAGATAATCTACTGGAAATACAAGGAACCTGGTTTGGTGGTGCAGACTCATGACCCCAGCACACAGGGGATCTGACCAGTCAACGCTACAGACCATGTCTCAAAAAATAAACAAAACAAATAATCACTAGTCCAGAAGAGCTGGGCACGCTATCTCACGCCTGTAATCCAAACACTAGGGGAGGCAAAGGCAGGAAGATCTCTGTAAATTCGAGGCCAACCCGGGCTAC